TGGTGGTATTTGATCACACTGGGTTTTTTTATTTTTTTGCACTATAAACAAAAAAAGACAGAAACATTTGAAAAAAAAACAATATTTTTTACTTTTTGCTGTAAAAAATATCCCATAAGAAATGAAAGAAATAAAATATCTTCATAAATTTAGGCCAAAGTGTAATCTGCTACATGTCTTTGGTAAAAGAAAAAATCCCAACAAGTGTACATTAATTGGTTCGAGTGAAAATTTAGCGGCTACAAATGGCGATATAAATACTGGAAATTTTTTTTTTTTTTTATAGGAGTAATGGCAGTGATCAGCAACTTATAGTGGGACTGTGATAGTACGGTGGGCATTCTGACATCACCAGTGACACTAATACAGTGATCAGTGCTAATCAAATGCACTGACAATGTACTAATGAAACTGGGCAGGAAGGGGTTAACATCCGAGGCAAATAAAGGGTTAACTGTGTGCCTAACTATATGTCTAACTGTGTACTGTTTTACTGATTTACTAGGGGATGTGACAGTTTTTGTCTCCCTGCTTTGCAGGGAGACAAAAACTGGCACATCCCCACTGTCAGTAAAAAGATCTGTGTTGTTTACCAACACAGATTTCTCTTCTGTCACTTGCTCTGACAATTGCTGGGTCCCTGCCGTAAATCATTGGCCTGGACTCACTGATAGACATGTCAGGGAGCCAATGACAGCACAGGTAGGCGAGTACCCACGTGTCCAATACCCGAAAAAGCAAAATCACGTACAGTATATATATATATTTCTGATTTCGCGCAGCCGGCCTGCACTGTAGCAGCAAAGCGGTTAATGTATATCTAAAGTCAATATCCAAAGTTAATTATATCTAAAGTCAATATTTGGATATAGAAGGGAAGGATTAAAACCCATTATTATTATTATTATTATTATTGTTATTATTACAGGTACTTATATAGCGCCATCAATTTTTAGCGTCAACACTTTTACATATATGTGTGTGTATATATATATATATATATATATATATATATATAAAAACATTGATATCAGTCTCTAACCCTCAAGGGGGGTACAATCTAAGGTCCCTAACTTACATTCATACATACACATACTAGGGAAAATTTAGACAGGAGCCAATTAACCTACCAGCATGTCTTTGGAGTGTGGGAGGAAAATGGTGTACCAGGAGGAAACCCACACAGTCACAGGGAGAACATGCAAACTCCAAGCAGGTTGTGCCGTGTTAGGTTTTTATTGCTGTCTGTGGGCTGATTTCTCCCTGTGACTGTTGGGAGAGAAAAAGATGGGAAATCAAAAATGTTACAGCTGTCAGAACAAAAAAAGGAAAAGAGAGGTAGGCTCCATTCAGATTTGTGCATCTCTAAAGTCGCACGATTTCCAGCACAACTGTGGAGCATGACTTTGACGTGCCTTCTGATGAGACTTTGATCCGACTTTACACCCTCTGGGCCAAAATCGCATCAAAAGTCACACCAACGTAGTGCAGGCACCTTTTCAAAAGCGCTTTAAGTCACAGCAATCTGAACAGCTGCGACTTGTCATGTCAAAGTTGCATGACAAGTTGCACAAATGTGAATGGGCCCATAATCCTATACCTCCCAACTTTCTGAGATGGAAAAGAACACAGTGTAGCAAGAAGTATAGAGGCAAAGGCCACACCCCTACCATACCCCCAATTACACAAACCAAGAAGAATTAATATGCAAAAAATAATTGCATGTTTTTTTCTTTATACCGACTGTTCTTTTTCTTTCTCAAAGAATAGATGCAGGTACTCACCACCACCACTACCCCCCATGGGGGAGCCATAGGGGAAATCAGTGAAGCAACAAGTCTAGGCAAGGTGAACGTTTAACTTATTTTTAAAAATAGTACATTTTCAATAGAAGTCTATATAATCAGTCTAAAAACAAGGAACAACTAAGGACAGAGATACATGGAGACTTGGTCCCAAGAGAAGGACTGTCCCTCCAAATGATGAGGGACGATTGGGAGTTATGTAATCTTCCACCTGATCTGGTGACAACTGTGTAAGAGTGGATTTCCCCTCACTTTGAATAAATGTTTTCTAACTTCCTGCTGAAACTACAGGAAAAAAAACCCCAATGGGAGTTTTAATTTTTCCCCTACCTTATCTAAAACTAAAATGAAAAAGTTTGGGTTTAGGTAGACTTGAACTTGAGGAAACTCAGGAAATGCAAAAATGTGTATCATTTTAAGAGAGACTAAAGCCTCTTCCAGACGTTGGTTTGGCAGTTGGCTTTCTATGGGGAGAGTGCCTGGTGGATCTCCTGAAATGCGTTCTGGTTCCTCTTTGGACTCCACAGTGATATGTCTAGTTCTGTCTAGTTTTGATCAGGAAGTACAGTTTTTATTGTTTTATGGTTACTACTAATAAAATATATCAGAACAACACACACATGGTGCTCTCATTTCTGCATATTTTATACCATATTTCACGAGCTCTATAGTGGTTTTTGTGTACCACCAGACAGCAGCCTGAAAGACCCTTAAAACTAGAAGATACACCCAGTTGGGACTCTCAGTTACACTAAGGAAACCCAATGCTTTCTAACCAGACTTCTCTATACTGAGGTCATCGGGGAAATCTACAAAGGGAAATATGTTGGTTTTCTGGTGTAAATATCAGAACATTTTCAATGTCCCAAATAAACAATATTATAAGATAAGGTCCATGTGGTGTTCCACCAGACGTGCCAAATTCTTACTATGGGTGAGCTCACTTTATTGCAGCACCACGGACACTGCACCATTGCAACCTTTTTCAGACCTGCCTCCTAGACTGGACCTTTTGGCCAGGACCGACGGAATTTTTATACAGGCCAAAGTGCAAGCCAAAGTGTATTATACACTGGTATGAAGCACTTATACCTCACCCCTTTTCTTTTTATATTTGTGTGTATATCTTTTTTTGCAATTTTGCACAGCACATTTGCACTTTTCTTATCCCAACTAATAAGATGTAGGTCCTTGAACTTGCCCTAAAAGTCTTGTGGGGGAGGGTACGTGGCCTTTTGGTCAGGTTTTTTCCCCTCTCCCATTTTCCCCATCCTAGTACTTGGGTAGGTCTTGCTTCAAAAGGCCTTCTGTATAAAGGGGTTTCTGCTGGGAGGACCACGAGTGCCCCAGTCCCCGTCAGGAGCCTTGCGCCCCGGGGGATCTCTTTGGAAGAGGGCCATGTGTATACCCTGTGCACTTTTTTGTGTGCTTCACTTTTGAACGCTCACTTTTTTGAACGCTCACTGCTACAGGGTGGCAGGGTTGCGCAAAATCACGTATTTATATACAGTATATGTGATTTTGCATATTCGTAGCCTCGGATATCAGTCACCGAGTCCTGGCCAATGATTACTCGCCGGCACCCAGCGATCGCCGAGCATTACCGACGGGGGGAGAGAACTGTATGTACACAATACAGTTTTATCCCCTGTCAGCTCCTGCACACTGATTTGTATGGCTCTGCATAGCAGAGCCATACAAAGCAGTGTGCTTACAGTGTAAAGAACACACAGCACACATAGTAAAAAAAAAAAAAAAGCACACAGTTAACCCTTTGATCGTCCCAGATGTTAACCCCTTCCCTCCCAGTGTCAGTGCTAGAGATGTCAATCACCGGGTCCCGGACGGCAATTCCTGTCCGGCACTCGGCGATCGTCAGGGAAAGCTGACAGTAAATAACACAGGTCTCTCTCCTGTCAGCAAGGACATGCTGCTTTGTATTTCTCTGTAAAGCAGCATGTCTACCTAGTAAAACACACACAGCACACAGTTAACCCTTTTATCACCCCACATGTTAACCCCTTCCTGCCCAGTGTCATTAGTACAGTGTCAGTGCTTTTTATTAGCACTAATCACTGTATTGGTGTCACTGGGGATGTCAGTGACACCAAGTCAATTCCCCCCAGTGTCAGAATGCCTGCCGCAGTCCCGCTAAAAGTCGCTGATCGCCGCCATTACTAGTACAAAAAAAATCCCAGTATCTATGCTGCCATTTGTAAACGCTATAACTTTCACAAAAACCAATTAATTTACACGTATTGGGATTTTTTTCAGCAAAGACATGTCGCAAAATACATTTTGGTCAAAATTTATGATGAAATTTGATTTTTTACTAATTTTTTTACTGGACATGTTGAATAGCAAAAAGTTAAAAATATATATTTTTTTTTTTCTCAAAATTGTTAGGCTTGTGCAAAAAATAAAAAACTTACAAACTATCAAATACCAGTGAAAGAAAGCTCTATTTGTGGGAAAAAAAGGATGCAAATGTCATTTGGGTGCAGCATTGCATGACCGCGCAATTGTCAGTTAAAGTAACGCAGCGCCGTAAAGCAAAAAATGGACTGGTCAGAAAGGTTGGGAAATCCTCAGGAGGGCGAATGGTTGAGCAAACATATAGAAACTGGTACATTTTTGGGCATGCTCCAGTCTTTGGTAATCCCCCCATTGGATGTCGGTGTCTGTGTGGCTTTTGGCTTATATCAGAAGAAACCTATTTGGTAATTTGGCTATAGGCATCAACAGGGGCGGACTGACTATTTGGAAACTCAGGCACTGCCTGAGGACCCGGGGTCAGTAGGGGGCCCCATGAGATGCCCCTGGTACCTTTTTCATAGGCTTTTTTGAGTTTGGGCAAGGACACAGGGGCCCCATGATCCCCTATTGCCCGGGGGCCCCATGAGTTGTCAGTCCACCCCTGGGCATCAATCGTCAGTCATTTTAGAATAAATTGAACTGTCTGTGAAGAACTAACTTCCTCATTCACTCCAAGTTCTCAGCTGTCAGCTGTATTCTTAGTTCGCCCTTTGGTGAAAACTGTTCCCTATGTGCTATAAATAGTTATCGAAAAACCAAACCTGAGCATTTCCTAGCAAGACATACATGGGTCACGAGAAGGCTTAATAGGACATCCTCTTTCATGTGAATATTTAGTAAGGGACTAGTCGCTCTTGTGTACACAGCCCACCGTACCACAATGCATGGGAATGCACCTGATTTATGTGCACTATGGTGCTATTCATTGTAAATGGCACCCCAACACATGGAAATGGAATCTGCCACTACCAAAGAGACATATTGGGCCCCAGGAGGTGTTCACCATGAAGTGCAAGTATTTGCAGCAAATTATGGCAAAAAAATTATGGCCAAAAGGGAAGTTCTGCTTTTTCAGCCTCCTTCCCCCCTTCTCTTCCGCTCCTTGCCACTTTTATTTTTTTGGGAAAGTGGGTTCCTAGTTTTGCTCCCATTTCCACTCGGTGATCCAAGCGGAAGTTGCTCCCCCCCTTTGCCTGCAGTCTTGTGCGGCACGTCACGGGTCCTCGAAGGCTGCAGGAACATTCACAAAGCTGAGTGGCACATATGCAGTGGCAAACCTGCTGAGATGTTGCAAGGCATCACAGCCAGCTTCCCTTAACCTCCCTGGCGGTATTCCCAAGTGTAGCTCGGGGTAAAATGTCAGTGCCAAAAGCGGTAACCCCGAGCTACACTCGGGCTTACCATGCGGCGCTGCATAGGGAGTCCCTGCAGAGCTTACCTTGTCCTTCGCTTCCGCGATGTGTCCCCTGCAGCGTCCCCGGCCATCTCCTCCGGCCGATGCCGGCATCCGGCTTCTGTGTTCCGATCCCTGTGACGTCGGGATGTAGGGGCGCCGGCGGCGGCGGGAAATTTGAAAATTTAAATTTTTTTTATTTTTTTCAAAAAAAATTTTCATAGTAAAACATTGCTGTTTCAACCCATTTCACATACATATTGTCCCGAGTGCTTTGTCCTGTGCCCTGCCTGCATTTTGTCTGCTCTTGCTGCCTGGAAACTGAGAAACTTCCATGGCGTCCAAAAAGTGTCCCTTTATGTCAAAAGCGGTTTAGATCAGCTAGAGAACAGCGATAGTAAATCAGAACCACTTGCAGAATTGAGTGATAATGATTCGTGGGGGAAATTCGATATCAGACACTGAAAACGATTTTGCGAGACTTTGCTCAGCAATGTGCGAACTTGGCGCTCTATTTCAAATTTCAGTGTTTTTGGTTTGATTATATTATTGAATTAAATGTATTATTATTATATTATTACTTTTTATGATTATTTATTAAATTATAATTAATGATTTCGTGTTTCAAATTTTATCATACCCGGAATGTTTACTAGACTCTTGTTTGGACAGATTTCAGTGAGTTATTCCTAATAATTACAGCCTACAATAAAAAAACTACATATTTCCATGCAAAAAAATGCTACCGCTTTCAGCACCAAAAATCTGAAATAATAATACCGCCAGGGTGGTTAATAAATATGCCGGGATGACATAACTCCTGCACTTGTGTATGGAAGCTAATTCGTCCCAGCACAGAACCATGCCAGGACTGTACACTGAGCTGTGTATGCAGTAAAACGTACAAATTTCCTCTACCCCTAAATCCCCCCTCCCAGACCACTCTCTCAGTACAGACCAGGGGCAGACTGACCATTTGGAAACTCAGGCACTGCTCGAGGGCCCGGGGTCAGTAGGGGGCCCCATGAGATGCCCCTGGTACCATTTTCTTAGGATTTTTTGAGTTTGGGCAAGGACACAGGGGCCCCATGATCCCCTATTGCCTGGGGGACCCATGAGTTGTCAGTCCACCCCTGGTACAGACCCTCCCCAACACAAACCCTTCAGTGCAGACTGCCCCCCAGCACAAACCTCTTAGTACAAACCCTAGCACAGACCCCCCTTAGTACAGATGGAACCCCCCTTTCCAAGCAAAGACCAGTCAGTATAGACTGATCCCCCAGCACAGACTCCTCAGTACAGAAACCCCTTCCCCGTAGGTATAGACCCCTCAGTACAGACACTCCCCCAGCATAGATCCATTAATACAGAAGGACCATCCAAGCACATACCCGTTAGTACAGACACCCCTCCCCCCAACAGAGACCTCTCAATACAGCCTGACCTCCATACACAGCACAGACCCTCAGTACAGAAACCCATTTTCCCTAGGTATAGACCCCTCAGTACAGACACTCCCCCAGCACAGATCCATTAATACAGAAGGACCAACCAAGCACAGAACCTTTAGTACAGACACCCCTCCCCCCAACAGAGACCTCTCAATACAGACCAACTTCCACACACAGCACAGACCCTCAGTACAGAAACCCCTTCCCCTTAGGTATAGACCCTCAGTACAGACACTCCCCCAGCATAGATCCATTAATACAGAAGGACCATCCAAGCACAGAACCTTTAGTACAGACCCCACTCCCCCAACAGACACCCCTCAGTACAAAACAACTTCCACACACAGCACAGACCCTCAGTACAGAAACCCCTTCCCCCTAGGTATAGACCCTTCAGTACAGATACTCCCCCAGCATAGATCCATTTATACAGAAGGACCATCCAAGCACAGAACCTTTAGTACAGACACCCCCTCCCCCCAACAGAGACCTCTCAGCGCAGACCGACTTCCACACACAGCACAGACCCTCAGTACAGAAACCCCTTCCCCCTAGGTATAGACCCCTCAGTACAGACACTCCCCCAGCATAGATCCATTAATACAGAAGGACCATCCAAGCACATAACTATTAGTACAGACACCCCTACCCCCAACAGAGACCCCTCAGTACAAAACGACTTCCACACACAGCACAGACCCTCAGTACAGAAACCCCTTCCCCCTAGGTATAGACCCTCAGTACAGACACTCCCCCCAGCATAGATCCATTAATACAGAAGGACCATCCAAGCACAGAACCTTTAGTACAGACCCCACTCCCCCAACAGACACCCCTCAGTACAAAACGACTTCCACACACAGCACAGACCCTCAGTACAGAAACCCCTTCCCCCTAGTTATAGACCCTCAGTACAGACACTCCCCCAGTATAGATCCATTAATACAGAAGGACCATCCAAGCACAGAACCTTTAGTACAGACACCCCTCCCCCCAACAGAGACCTCTCAGTGCAGACCGACTTCCACACACAGCACAGACCCTCAGTACAGAAACCCCTTCCCCCTAGGTATAGACCCTTCAGTACATATACTCCCCCAGCATAGATCCTTAATACAGAAGGACCATCCAAGCACAGAACCTTTAGTACAGACCCCCCTCCCCCCAACAGAGACCTCTCAGTACAAAATGACTTCCACACACAGCACAGACCCTCAGTACAGAAACCCCTTCCCCCTAGTTATAGACCCTCAGTACAGACACTCCCCCAGCATAGATCCATTAATACAGAAGGACCATCCAAGCACAGAACCTTTAGTACAGACACCCCTCCCCCCAACAGAGACCTCTCAGTGCAGACCGACTTCCACACACAGCACAGACCCTCAGTACAGAAACCCCTTCTGTAGAACTTATGACATACTACAAAGGTGACTGAGGCATGGATCTGAAGGTGACTCCACTAGAACCTCTAGGCCTTTTGGTTTGGGAATAGATTACCATAGGTTCCATGCACACTATAAACTAAAACAAAATGCCAGAAAAACGCTTGATGGAAAGAGCTCATATTAGGATATCACTAATAATAAGATATAATAATATAATATAAAAATAATAATAATGGATCTGAAGGTGACTCAACAAGAACCCCATGGCCTCTTGGTTTGGGAATAGATTGCCATAGGTTCCATGCACACTATAAACTAAAAAAAGCCAGAAAAATGCTGGATGAAAAGCGCTCATAATAGGAAAGCACTAATAATAAGATATAATAATATGATATAATGTAATAATTAATAATAATATACCAATTATTTGCTTCTAGTAGAAAAATTGCTCAAAATCTGCTGCTAGGAGCATTATTTAAGCAAGTGTGCATGGAGCCTAAGCCCTCATGGACACTGGATGTTTTTACAGCGGCTGTTTTTGGCTTTTGATGTTTTTTTACTACAGCCAGTAAACCCCCCAGCATGTTATTCTAGGTGTCCATGCACACATAGACTGTAATCAACGTTTTTTGGCTGGAAAACCCCCCAGAACTAACGCTGAAAAACACAGCAAAACGCTGCAAGTCGGCGTTTTTGGATTTTTTTTAACCAAAAAAGCGCTAAAACGCAAACGCAGGAAAATGCCACTAAACGCTAATGCAAAAACGCTAAAAAAAGCTGAAAAACTGACGTTTTTAACATGACTTTACACAGCTAACGTTACCAGCGTTATCACAATGCCCCGTGTGCATGGAGCCTTATAGTACAAAATTGGGGCTTCCAATGAATCTTCAAACAAGGCCGACCCTTCTTATTCTACTGATGTTATAAACAATTGTCTTCCTGCAGCACAATGATACTCTACCTCCTGCTTCTTGCATTTCCTCTGCTGCAAGCTGGACCATTCTGGGATGACACTCTGGACTCTGAGTGGGAACAGTGGAAGAGGACCTACCAGAAACAATATAATGGACAGGTAACCATTTATATACTGGAAACTCTTTGTTCATAGGGAAAAAGATTAAATTGATGGTTTGAGCTAAGACTCAATGGATGATTTTGTTTTGATCTCTTTTATGGTTGCCACTTGCCAATCTTCCGCTCTGGACAAGACCCAGTACAGACATGGGATAATGGGCATAACCAGGGGCGGACTGACAACTCATGGGGCCCCCGGGAAATAGGGGATCATAGGGCCCCTGTTTCCTTGCCCAAACTCGAAAAAGCCTATGAAAAAGGTACCAGGGGCATCTCATGGGGCCGCCTACTGACGCCCGGCCCTCGGGCAGTGCCCGAGTTTCCAAATGGTCAGTCCGCCCCTGGGCATAACTAGACATCACAGGTCCCAGGAGCTAAACATGGTCCCATTCCAATCTTTGGCCCCTGGTGCATTAAAATGACATTTTGACATCTATCTGTGCTGTGCTGTGGTGTAGTACCACCCTAGGCTAAATCCCAATTTATGGGCATTCCTAAGGGGCAGCTACAGCACTATAGTCACCGTTCCCTCCATCTGTGAAAAGAATTGTGCAGTGTCCTAGCCTGCTGATGGGCTGTGGAATTAGCCGGCTTCTAAAAAAACTTTTACTAACTGTGGCAAATATTTACTAATCCAGGCCAGCAAATTTGTAGTAGAAGTCATCTGATTTATTGTCATTCACACTGACCCCTCCCCCTGCTGGATGATTTTGTTTTGATCTCTTTTATGGTTGCCACCTTCCAATCTTCCGCTCTGGGCAAGACCCAGTACAAACATGGGATAATGGGCATAACTAGACATCACAGGTTCCAGGAGCTAAAGATGAAGCGCAATATATGTTCAGACAGTATAAAGGAGAAGAATCATCACATCTAAAAAATCATATAAAGAACTACAAAAACCAAATGGGACTTTACTGGTACAGAAAATGGACAACCTGATTTTACTGTATAAAACATTTGAAAAATCCTAAATAAATCCCTCAAGAGACCAAATGCATGGTCCCATTCCAATCTCTGGCCCCTGGTGCATTCAAATTACATTTTGACTTCTATCTGTGCTGTGGTACCACCCTAGGCTAAAACCCAATTTATGGGCATTCCTAAGGAGTAGCTACAGCACTATAGTTACCGTTCCCTCCATCTGTAAAAAGAATTGTGCAGTATCCTAGCCTGCTGATGGGCTGCGGAATTAGCCGGCTACTAAAAAAACATTTCCTAACTGTGGCAAACATTTACTAATCCAGGCCAGCGAATGTTTAGTAGAAGCCATCTGATTTATTGTCATTCACACTGCCCCTCCCCCTGCTGGATGATTTTGTTTTGATCTCTTTTATGGTTGTCACCTTCCAATCTTCCACTCTGGACAAGACCCAGTACAGACATGGGATAATGGCATAACCAGACATCACAGGTCCCAGGAGCTAAACATGAAGCGCAATATATGTTCAGACAATATAAAGGAGAAGTATCATCACATGTGAAAAACCCTAAATAAATCCCTCAAGAGACCAAATGCATGGCCCCATTCCAATCTCTGGCCCCTGGTGCATTCAAATGACATTTTGACTTCTATCTGTGCTGTGCTGTAGTACCACCCTAGACTAAAGCCCAATTTATGGGCATTCCTAAGGGGTAGCTACAGCACTATAGTCACCGTTCCCTCCATCTGTAAAAAGAATTGTGCAATGTCCTAGCCTGCTGATGGGCTGTGGAATTAGCCGGCTACTAAAAAAACTTTTTCTAACTGTGGCAAACATTTACTAATCCAGAACAGTGAATGTTTAGTAGAAGCCATCTGATTTATTGTCATTCACACTGACCCCTCCCCCTGCTGTGCTTACAATATACGTACGCCCTCACGGTGTAAAACAAGTCATTCTGTTTAAAAAAGAAATGAAAGTGAAAATATTTGTAACTGTATATTAAAAAAAGTATAAAGATTTTTTCCCCTTTTTTATAAGTGACCTCAAAACCTCTGTTCTCAGCTGGATAAGGAGCTCAGAGAGCTGGAAGAGGAGAAACAGCAGCACACTGATTTTCCTTCCCAGTGAATAGCTGTACAGGTAGGGCACATCAGGACAGGTCTAATCATTGGAGGAGAGCAGGCTGAGTGCTCAGCATAGCTAGAGATCTGCCCTCTCTAGCTATGCTGGAGGCCACAGCCATGGCTGACAATCACCAGGCCCTGGTCGGTAATTACCTGCCGATGCCCGGTGATTACCAAGCATCTCTGACAGGGAGGAATACTGTTTTGTTTACAAACAATCTTCCTCCCTGTCAGCTCAGGCACACTGCACAGTACAGCCATCCCGATCAGTGTGCTTACAGTGAAGCACCCCCCGCCCCCTAGTAAAATACTCCCTACATATAATTTACCCTTTGATCACCTCTCATGTTAACCCCTTCCTGCCCAGTGCCATTAGTACAGTGTCAGTGTTTTTGTTTTAGCACTTATCAGTGTATTGGTGCCACTGGGGATGTCAGTGACACCAAGTTAGTTCCCACCCAGTGTCAGAATGTCCGCTGCAATCCCGCTAAAAGTTGCTGATCGCCTCCATTACTAGTAGAAAAAAAAAATCCCAATATCTATACCGCCATTTGTAAACGCTATAACTGTCACGTAAATCAATTAATTTACACATATTGGGATTTTTTCCTGCAGAATACATTTTGGCCTAAATTTATGACAAAATTTGATTTTTTACATTTTTTTTAGTGGACTTGTTTAATAGCAAAAATTCCAAAATATTGTTTTTTTTTTTTCTCAAAATTGTCTTTTTTTTATAGCAAAAAAAATTTTAAAACCGCAGAGGGGATCAAAAACTACCAAAAGAAAGCTCAATTCGTAGGAAAAAAAAACGTAATTTCATTAGGGTGCAGCATTGCATGAACGCGCAACTGTCAGTTAAAGTAATGCAGCACTGTAAAGCAAAAAATGGCCTGGTCAGGAAGGGGGGTAAATCCTCTGGAGGGCAAGGGGTTAATGGCCATTTACCCTTTTCTCTCCATTCCTTGCAGGCCTTGAATGCATTCACCAGTATGTCACTTATAGAAGAGAGTTTGTACCGTCGGTATGCATACCGTGTTTATCAGCTCAAAATAATTGGTTTTATTGATTCCACAAATGACAACAAGAAAAGAAAAAAAAACGCCAGACAGCCAATGAATTTTGGGGGCTCAGCATTCTCCCTTCATCAGGGTTCTAAAAGAAACTAGATATCAGTTGAACCTAGAGCAAATTTCCTCGAAGAATTCGACCCACACCAGGAGGATGATCTTTAAAAAGGTTGTGGGTTGGGTGCAGGGGCGGACTGACAACTCATGGGGCCCCCAGGCAATAGGGGATCATGGAGCCCCTGTGTCCTTGCCCAAACTCAAAAAAGCCTATGAAAAAGGTACCAGGGGCATCTCATGGGGCCCCCTACTGACCCCGGGCCCTTGGGCAGTGCCCGAGTTTCCTGGTTGGGTGCCATGTGTTGTGGTGGCAGTAATCAGTATGCAGAATGCAGTAACCAATGTGTTAAAGAACTTGCAGAGCAAGCAAGTGGGAGGCCACCTGACCAAGGACTTACAGTCAATGCAGCGGGCGGTCAGTGGTTGACGGCTCGAACTGAAGACAATGCTTGCTCCATCTTGGCTGGTCCAAGCCAAGAAGGAGTTTGCAGAAGTTCAAGCATAGGCCCTGCTCTTTCCCTACCCCTCTGGAACCTCAACCTACTGCTAGGACTGTCCCTGAGGTATGATCTCCCTACACCAGCCACCTCACAAATGTACGCCAAAACCTGGGGGCAGGGACTTAAGAGGGCTCTCCTTTACTAGGGTTGCCACCTCATTCCTTTAAAACCAAACACATATTAATGACACAGGTTCCGAGGCTAATGTATGGCAGATAAGGCCCTAAGTGAGTTTAATTACCACCTTATTCAGCCACAGAACCTGTGTAAATAATAGATCTGTTCTGTTTCAAAAGGATGAGGTGGCAACCCTATGCTTGACCCAAGATGGCAACCAGGGTCTCCTGGATGTAGAGTAGCCAACAGAAGAACTGCTCCAGGGGACCAAGGAAACCATAGAGAAACCAAGTTTTTCTTGACTTCCTCTCCATTCTGCAGTACAGCTTCGGTTGAGCACCACCTATCGTGGAGAAAACAGACTGCACCTGTCTATAGGATGCCCGTGTCCACGCAGCTACCAGAATTCAATGGCTAACAGTGGAGACTCCTAAATCCATGCTGTTAGCATTAATGGGGAATTTCATTGATTTTCTCTCATTCAGCCAGCAGGCCTATTAGAGAAAAAATTAGCCATGTATGGTGGCCATTAGCCATAAAGAAGGAGATGCTGAGCTGAATGGTGTTTGGGCCGGGGTCAAGCTAGCCTTTCTCCAGTGGAATTTCATTCTAAGTACAGATGGGAGTGTATAAAAACACTTGTCCAACCATTCGATGGTGCTATTATGGACTTTTTTAATTTTTAAAAACCTTTCATTCAAGTACCTTTGATTTTACGTAGAAAGATTCGTCAAGGATTTTTCTTGATTTGGAGTCAACTCAACGATTAGATATTTGGTCCTTTCCATTAGATTTGACCAAAATTTTCCACCCCTTTCTATTTTTTTTGCTTGCTTTGGTCCAAACGGATTGTCGAATTGTCTCCTCTTCTTAAAATGACAATTTCTGAACCAAATTGTACAGATATCAGCAGGGCTTTTTTTTCTCAGAGAACAGGTACAGGAACTCCCCCCTTTGGTGTCACCCCTTGTCTCCGCCCCCCCACCAAACTTTGAGCACTGCCCCTTGGTTTCACCCCCCACCCACCTCCCAGTACAGCCCCTTTTAGAGAATACAGAAGTGTTATTTTGTGGTGCTAAGTAATTTGTATGGAATTTGTTAATGATAACAGGAAAAGCAGTCAAATAGACCGCCAGCAACAATATCCCCCAGCAATAATAGATCCCCCTACAACAATAAACCCCCTCCAGAAACAATGGACCCCTGCAACAAAATACCACCCTAGCAGCAATAGACCACAACAGATCTCCCAGCAGTCCACATCAATAGACTCTTCAGCAGCCAGCAACAATCCCTCAACAGTAGATCCCTATCAGGAACAATTGACCCCCAGCAACATAAGACCCATACAAGCAAGAATAGACCCCCCCCAACAGCAATAATAGACCCACACAAAAAAATAGATCACCCCTAAAACAAAAACCCCCCAGGAACAATGGACCCCTGCAACAAAATACCACCCTAGCAACAATAGACCACAACGAATCTCCCAGCAGTCCGCATCAATAAACTCTTCAGCAGCCAGCACCAATCCCTCAGCAGTAGATCCCTATCAGGAATAATTGACCCCCAGCAACATAAGAGCCATACCAACAACAATAGACCCCCCCAACAGCAATAATAGACCCCCACACAAAAATAGATCCCCCTACAACAATAGACCCCTTCCAGGAACAATGGACCCCTGCAACAAAATACCACCCTAGCAACAATAGACCACAACAGATCTCCCAGCAGTCCACATCAATAGACTCTTCAGCAGCCAGCAACAATTCCTCAGCAGTAGTTCCCTTTCAGGAACAATTGGCCCCCAGCAGCATAAGACCCATACAAGCAACAATAGACCCCCCCAACAGCAATAATAGACCCACACAAAAAAATAGATCCCCCCTACAACAAAAGCCCCCCAAGAACAATGGACCCCTGCAACAAAATACCACCCTAGCAGCAATAGACCACAACAGATCTCCCAGCAGTCCGCATCAATAGACTCTTCAGCAGCCAGCAACAATCCCTCAGCAGTAGATCCCTATCAGGAATAATTGACCCCCAGCAGCATAAGACCCATACCAGCAACAATATACCCCCCAACAGCAATAATAGACCCCCACACAAAAAAATAGATCCCGTCCAACAACAATAGATCCCCCAGCAGCCAGCATCATTAGACCCTCCAGCACCCCTTGCATGTGCTGCGTTTCCCCGTATTCCTACGAAGAAAAAACCGAGTATAAGCAACCAGGAATGGTCTTTGTAGAAGTCCCAGTATTTAATTCTCCATTCCGCCATCTTGGTTTTTATCTTCCAGTTCGATGAGCTAACAAGACGTCTGATTTGGGAGAAAAACTATAAATTAATCGCTGCCCATAATGAGGAACATCTGCAAGGCCTGCACACCTATGATCTGGCCATGAATCGTCTAGGAGACATGGTAAGTGGCTGACGTGGTAAAAAGGGTTCAATCTGAAGTCATGGGCAGGGGCGGATTGACAACTCATGGGGCCCCCGGGCAATAGGGGATCATGGGGCCCCTGTGTCCTTGCCCAAACTCAAAAAAGCCTATGAAAAAAGTACCAGGGGCATCTCATGGGGCCCCCTACTGACCCCAGGCCCTTGGTTAGTGCCCAAGTTTCCAAATGGTCAGTCCGCCCCTGGTCATGGGTTTGCTTGTCCTAAACCAGGGGTCACCAAACTATGGCCCTCCAGCTGTTGAAGTACTACAACTCCCATCATGCCTCTGGGAGTCTTGCCTGTGGCTGTCAGAGTCTTGTAAGTCCTCATGTGACTTGCAGTCCCTCAACACCTGGAGGGCCATAGTTTGGAGACCCCTGGCCTAAACCATTTCACAAGTTGACAGTTTTTTGTTTTTTTTTTTTGCTGACTGCTGTGATTAATTGTGATAATCACTGTATGTGTATCTAAACCCAAAAACAAAAATGTAATATATAAAGATTATCAGTCGTTCAATGTGGTGGCTGCATTCGTTTTCTTATTTCAGGCTTTTTCCCTTTATTTTCATCGTTGTTCCTGCCTATAACACGTTTCCTGTGCTGTATCTATGGAGGAACAACATTGGCACCCTAGGACCAGGGGTGGACTGACCATTTGGAAACTCGGGCACGGCCCAAGGGCCCAAGGTCAGTAGGGGGCCCCATGAGATGCCCCTGGTACCTTTTTCATAGGATTTTTTGAGTTTGGGCAAGGACACAGGGGCCCCATGATCCCCTATTGCCCGGGGGCCCCATGAGTTGTCAGTCCGCCCCTGCCTAGAACATTTCCTTTTCTCCATTAAATGGGGAGATGTTCAGTAGTCCGCAAAGATAGAAATGTAACCAATAGGAATGTAGCAGCAGGCACAGGAACATATTCGCTCACAGAAGTTTCTGGCAGGAGCAGCAGGTATTTCTTCACTCTATATGGTGTATGTAATAGACCAAAAGGAATCATTTTTTCATCTTTTATTTGGAATTTTTGTATTGGCATTTTGCCGCGTTTAGCGGGGTTTTCCTGCGTTTTTCCACGTTTGCGTTTTTAGCGTTTTTTTAACCAAAAAAAACACTTTTTTTGCTCAAAAAAAGTCCAAAAACGCTGCAGCGTTTTACCACATTTGCGTTTTTTAGCGTGGTTTTTTTGTACCCAAAATATTTTTTTTGGTTAAACGAAGAAATCGGTTTGCGGCGTGTTACTGCGTTTTTCAGCATTTTTCAGCATTAGAGCATTTTTACAGCTAACAAACTCCTCTAGAAACCCACTAGTTTTGGGGTTTTTTTCCAGCTAAAAAATGCTAATTCCAGTCAATGTGTGTATGGATACCTAGGATAACCTGCTGGGGGGTTTACTAGCTGTAGAAAACAGCCGCTGTAAAAATGTCCGGTGTGCATGACTTAGGGCTCTTTCAGACTGGTGGCAATGCTTACTGCCTCTGAAAAGTGAACTACAGTGGATCTCTTTTCAGAGGGCGGTGTAGAAGCAACTGGCAGGTGTTACGTCTCCTGAAACTTTTTTTTTTTTATTTTAATTGCAAAATGGCAATTACATCGTGGGACCGCACGGCAACTGCGAGCCATGTGTTTGGCTCGCAGGTGCGGTGTGGCCCCATTGATCTCAATGGGCAAGCTTGAGTAGTCAAACTCTGCAGTCCATATTAAAATCTCTGCTGTCAAGTTTAAGGGATGGATTGCTTCAAAGTGCCCTCAGCTCTATCAGTCAGTGGGGCTGCTTTACTAAACACAAATAGACTGTGCACTTTGCAGGTGCAGTTGCTCCAGAGCTTAGCAAATGAGGGGAAGCTCTGCTGACTTCCATCATCCAATCATATGAAAGCAGAAATGCTGTTTTTTTTTACTGGCATATGATTGTAAAGTGATGTTTTTTGCCTTTAGTAAATCAATCCCAGTGGACTGCGGATGTGCAACACTGAAAGGGAAGCCTCAATTTTTATACATACTAATGGAACACTAAAGCCCAAAGATAAAACCTTCCATTTAATGAAGGAGAACTGTTTTCCTCCTATGACCTTTAGGGATGCACCAATATATCGGCGGCTGAAACATATCGGCCGAAAATAATGTTATCTGCATTTTGCCGATAAGAAAAAAGGTGCCGATACATGCATAAGTCGCATCTCATAGACATTCATTCAAAGTCGCATCTCATAGACATTCATTCAAAGTCGCATCTCATAGACATTCATTCAAAGTCGCATCTCATCGACGTTCATTCAAAGTCGCATCTCATAGACGTTCATGCAAAGTCGCATCTCATAGACATTCATGCAAAGTCGCATCTCATAGACATTCATTCAAAGTCGCATCTCATAGACGTTCATTCAAAGTCGCATCTCATAGACGTTCATGCAAAGTCGCATCTCATAGACGTTCATGCAAAGTCGCATCTCATAGACGTTAATGCAAAGTCGCATCTCATAGATGTTCATTCAAAGTCGCATCTCATAGATGTTCATGCAAAGTCGCATCTCATAGACATTCATTCAAAGTCGCATCTCATAGACATTCATTTAAAGTTGCATCTCATAGACGTTCATGCAAACTTGCATCTCAGACATTCATTCAAAGTCGCATCTCATAGACGTTCATGCAAAGTCACATCTCATAGACATTCATGCAAAGTCACATCTCATAGACAATCATGCAAAGTCGCATCTCATAGATGTTCATGCAAAGTCGCATCTCATAGACATTCATGCAAAGTCACATCTCATAGACGTTCATGCAAAGTCACATCTCATAGACGTTCATGCAAAGTCGCATCTCATAGACGTTCATGCAAAGTCGCATCTCATAGACATTCATGCAAAATCACGTCTCATTCACTTCAATACAAAAACACCCCCTAATGACTTCAATGTAAAACTGCCAGCCACATTAATTAAAAAAAAAAAAAAATTAAATTAAAAACTGTCTGTTACAGTGTCCCTGATCACCCCCATACCAGACCCACTGTCCCTGATCACCGCCACCCCAGTTACAGTATCCCTGATCACCGCCACCCCAGTTACAGTGTCCCTGATCACCCCCATACCAGACCCACTGTCCCTGATCACCGCCACACCAGTTACAGTGTCCCTGATCACCGCCACCCCAGTTACAGTGTCCCTGATCACCGCCACCCCAGTTACAGTATCCCTGATCACCGCCACCCCAGTTACAGTATCCCTGATCACCGCCACCCCAGTTACAGTATCCCTGATCACCGCCACCCCAGTTACAGTGTCCCTGATCACCACCACCCCAGTTACAGTGTCCCTGATCACCGCCGCGCCAATTACAGTGTCCCTGATCACCGCCACCCCAGTTACAGTGTCCCTGATCACCGCCACACCAGTTACAGTGTCCCTGATCACCACCACCCCAGTTACAGTGTCTCTGATCACCGCCACACCAGTTACAGTGTGCCCAATCACCGCCATGCCAGTTACAGTGTCCCCGTTCACCACTGCACCAGTTACAGTGTCCCTGATCACCGCCACACCAGTTACAGTGTCCCGGATCACCGCCGCGCCAATTACAGTGTCCCTGATCACCGCCACACCAGTTACAGTGTGCCCAATCACCGCCATGCCAGTTACAGTGTCCCCGTTCACCGCCACACCAGTTACAGTGTCCCTGATCACCGCCACACCAGTTACAGTGTCCCCGTTCACCACTGCACCAGTTACAGTGTCCCTGATCACCGCCACTCCAGTTACAGTGTCCCTGATCACCGCCACCCCAGTTACAGTGTCCCGGATCACCGCCGCGCAAATTACAGTGTCCCTGATCACCGCCACACCAGTTACAGTGTGCCCAATCACCGCCACGCCAGTTACAGTGTCCCCGTTCACCGCCACACCAGTTACAGTGTCCCTGATCACCGCCACCCCCCAGTTAGTGTCCCTGATCACTGCCACACCAATTACAGTGTCCCTGATCACTGCCACACCAATACCAGTGTCCTTGATCTCCACCATCCCAGATACAGTGTCCCCGATCATCGCCACACCGGTTACAGCGTCCCTGATCACCACCACACCGGTTACAGTGTCCCTGATCTCCGCCACCCCAGTTACAGTGTCCCTGATCACCGCCACCCTAGTTACAGTATCCCTGATCACCGGCACCCCAGTTACAGTATCCCTGATCACCGGCACCCCAGTTACAGTATCCCTGATCACCGCCACCCCAGTTACAGTATCCCTGATCACCGCCACCCCAGTTACAGTATCCCTGATCACCCCACCCCAGTTACAGTGTCCCTGACCACCGCCACCCTAGTTACAGTATCCCTGATCACCGGCACCCCAGTTACAGTATCCCTGATCACCGCCACCCCAGTTACAGTGTTCCTGATCACCACCACCCTAGTTACAGTATCCCTGATCACCGCCACCCCAGTTACAGTATCCCTGATCACCGCCACCCCAGTTACAGTGTCCCTGATCACCACCACCCCAGTTACAGTATCCCTGATCACCACCACCCTAGTTACAGTATCCCTGATCACCGCCACCCCAGTTACAGTATCCCTGATCACCGCCACCCCAGTTACAGTATCCCTGATCACCGCCACCCCAGTTACAGTTTCCCTGATCACCACCACCCCAGTTACAGTATCCCTGATCACCACCACCCTAGTTACAGTATCCCTGATCACCGCCACCCCCAGTTACAGTGTCCCTGATCACCACCACCCCAGTTACAGTATCCCTGATCACCACCACCCCAGTTACAGTATCCCTGATCACCGGCACCCCAGTTACAGTATCCCTGATCACCGCCACCCCAGTTACAGTGTTCCTGATCACCACCACCCTAGTTACAGTATCCCTGATCACCACCACCCCAGTTACAGTATCCCTGATCACTGCCACCCCAGTTACAGTATCCCTGATCTCCGCCACCCCAGTTACAGTGTCCCTGATCACCACCACCCCAGTTACAGTATCCCTGATCACCGCCACCCCAGTTACAGTGTCCCTGATCACCACCACCCCAGTTACAGTATCCCTGATCACCGCCACCCCAGTTACAGTATCCCTGATCTCCGCCACACCAGTACCAGGGACACTCCTGATTACCACCACACCAGCTACAATGTCCATAACCATTATGCCACCAAATGGACGCAAAAGCAAAACGCAATGTAGAAATGGCTCAAACGCAACCTGCATAGGCGTGAGCCTCGTGTAAGGGATTACCGGCATTTTTTTCGATTGGTAATAATAGGGTCTATTTACCACAAGCTGTTGTTTACAACTTCAGTGTGTTTCATGATAAGTAGGAATAATCAAATCTCTGACATCACTAAATATTTGCAGGTAATGAGAGAATTGTATAATTTAGAAATACATGAAATTGTGATTCATGAATGTTGTGATTCTTTGCAGATTGGGCATATCTGCACATAACTATTCACAAATTAGTCAACTTATCCATTTTTTATACCTATTTATTGTGACAACTAAACTGCCAGTTGGTAAAATTGTTCTACTACAAAGCTCCATTTCTTGGCAGACCAGTGATGAAGTTGTGAAGACAATGACAGGGCTGAAGGTGCCTGCAAAAAACAGGCCAAGAAACGTCACAGCTGATGATGACGAGGAACTAGTACCCCTGCCGGCCTCCGTTGACTATAGGAAGAAAGGTTACGTCACGCCAGTCCGAAACCAGGTAACATAAAAAACCATCTCACCTATGATTAATCATTTTCCCCTTAAAAAGGTATAAAGTTCTTATTTTTCCTTTATAGTACATGGGAACTACATGACCGGAGCCATGTGGCAAGGGTGGGTCCTGTGCTTATATTTTTTGGGCTCCAAGATGTACCTATTTTCCCTCTTGGAAAGTTGACAGGTCTACCCAGAGATTGCAGGATCTGCCTCATGATTGTGCCTTGCTGGTCCTCTTGTATGATCTTGTTTTAGAGCCACCTTTCTCAACCTGAGGAATGCAGAGGAACCCTTGACATAATAATTGGGAAACTCTGCTACAACCAAAATAATTGAAGGTCAGTGGGAACAATTGCCCTTACGTAGGTGGCCAGTGGGAAGAATTCTCTTTATGTAGGTGACCAGTGGGAAGAATGTCCCTTACATTGGTGGCCAGTGGGAAGAATGCACCTTACATTGGTGGTCAGTGGGAAGAATGTCCCTTACTTGGTGGCCAGTGGGAAGAATGCACCTTACATTGGTGGTCAGTGGGAAGAATGTCCCTTACATTGGTGGTCAGTGGGAAGACTGTCCCTTACATTGGTAGCCAGTGGGAAGAATGCACCTTACATTGGTGGTCAGTGGGCAGAATGCACCTTACATTGGTGGTCAGTGGGAAGAATGCACCTTACATTGGTGGTCAGTGGGCATAATGCACCTTACATTGGTGGTCAGTGGGAAGAATGTCCCTTACATTGGTGGTCAGTGGGAAGAATGCACCTTACATTGGTGGTCAGTGGGAAGAATGTCCCTTACATTGGTGGTCAGTGGGAAGAATGTCCCTTACATTGGTGGCCAGTGGGAAGAATGTCCCTTACATTGGTGGCCAGTGGGAAGAATGTCCCTTACATTGGTGGCTAGTGGGAAGAATGCACCTTACATTGGTGGTCAGTGGGAAGAATTCCCCTTACATATGTGACCAGTGGAAAAATGCCCCTTACATAGGATGCATGTGGGAAAATTGCCCCTGACAGTGGTGGTCAGATTGCCACTGTTACAGACAACTATAAAAAGACAATTGGTGTCAAACTGTTGGCTATGCCAAGTGGCATTGGCATTTGATGGTGGAGGCACCATCAAATGGGAGGTCAATTAGCCATATTTCATGGAACTCCTATCAACCCCTGGAGGAACCCTGGCTGAAGATGGCTGTTTTAGGGTGTACTCACAGTAGGATGTACATACTGTGCTTAGGTACAACAGACTCCCAAAGTCCACTGTGCTTGAGTAGTGTGATTTCTCCATACCTTGTCTGGGCATGGTTTTGCGTGCCATGCCTTCGCCCGCATGAAAGAGGTGACCTGGTGCAAAGTTCAGTTGGATTCTACACGTTACGCTTCTGATCCATTTGTGCCTACCCATGTAGCCAGGGTATAGATGACATAAGCATGCTTGGGCGTGGCACAATATGAGTGGAGGAAGTTTGTTTGGACCCAGCTCGATATGAGCAAAGGAAGTCTGTTTAGACCCGGCTCAATATAAGCTGAGGAAGTTTGTTTAGACATGGTTCGATATAAATGGAGGAAGTTTGTCTGGACCCGGCTCAATATGAGAAGAGGAAGCTTGTTTGGACCCGGCTCAATATAAACGGAGGAAGTTTGTTTGGACCCAGCTCAATATGAGAGGAGGAAGTTTGTTTGGACCCGGCTCAATATAAACGGAGGAAGTTTGTTTGGACCCAGCTCAATATGAGAGGAGGAAGTTTGTTTGGACCCAGCTCAATATGAGAGGAGGAAGTTTGTTTGGACCAGACTCAATATGAGAGAAAGTTTGTTTGGACCCGGCTCAATATGAGAGGAGGAAGTTTGTTTGGACCCAGCTCAATATGAATGGAGGAAGTTTGTTTGGACCCGGCTCAATATGAGAGGAGGAAGTTTGTTTGGACCCAGCTCAATATGAGAGGAGGAAGTTTGTTTGGACCTGGCTCAATATGAGAGGAGGAAGTTTGTTTGGACCCGGTTCAATCTGAGAGCTGGAAGTTTGTTTGGACGAGACTCAATATGAGAGGAGGAAGTTTGTTTGGACCCGGTTCAATCTGAGAGCTGGAAGTTTGTTTGGACGAGACTCAATATGAGAGGAGGAAGTTTGTTTGGACCCGGCTCAATATGAGGGGAGGAAGTTTGTTTGGACCCGGTTCAATCTGAGAGCTGGAAGTTTATTTGGACCCGGCTCAATATGAGAGGAGGAAGTTTGTTTGGACCCGGCTCTATATGAGAGGAGGAAGTTTGTTTGGACCCGGCTCAATATGAGAGGAGGAAGTTTGTTTGGACCCGGTTCAATCTGAGAGCTGGAAGTTTGTTTGGACGAGACTCAATATGAGAGGAGGAAGTTTGTTTGCACCTGGCTCAATATGAGAGGAGGAAGTTTGTTTGGACGAGACTCAATATGTGAGAAGGAAGTTTGTTTGCACCCAGCTCAATATGAGAGGAGGAAGTTTGTTTGGACCCGGTTCAATCTGAGAGCTGGAAGTTTGTTTGGGCGAGACTCAATATGAGAGGAGGAAGTTTGTTTGCACCTGGCTCAATATGTGAGGAGGACGTTTGTTTGGCCTGGCTCAATATGAGAGGAGGAAGTTTGTTTGGACCCGGTTCAATCTGAGAGCTGGAAGTTTGTTTGGACGAGACTCAATATGAGAGGAGGAAGTTTGTTTGGACCCGGTTCAATCTGAGAGCTGGAAGTTTGTTTGGACGAGACTCAATATGAGAGGAGGAAGTTTGTTTGGACCCGGCTCAATATGAGGGGAGGAAGTTTGTTTGGACCCGGTTCAATCTGAGAGCTGGAAGTTTATATGGACCCGGCTCAATATGAGAGGAGGAAGTTTGTTTGGACCCGGCTCTATATGAGAGGAGGAAGTTTGTTTGGACCCGGCTCAATATGAGAGGAGGAAGTTTGTTTGGACCCGGTTCAATCTGAGAGCTGGAAGTTTGTTTGGACGAGACTCAATATGAGAGGAGGAAGTTTGTTTGCACCTGGCTCAATATGAGAGGAGGAAGTTTGTTTGGACGAGACTCAATATGTGAGAAGGAAGTTTGTTTGCACCCAGCTCAATATGAGAGGAGGAAGTTTGTTTGGACACGGTTCAATCTGAGAGCTGGAAGTTTGTTTGGGCGAGACTCAATATGAGAGGAGGAAGTTTGTTTGCACCTGGCTCAATATGTGAGGAGGACGTTTGTTTGGCCTGGCTCAATATGAGAGGAGGAAGTTTGTTTGGATGAGACTCAATATGTGAGAAGGAAGTTTGTTTGGACCCGGTTCAATCTGAGAGCTGGAAGTTTGTTTGGGCGAGACTCAATATGAGAGGAGGAAGTTTGTTTGGAGCCGGCTCAATATGAGAGGAGGAAGTTTGTTTGGACCCGGTTCAATCTGAGAGCTGGAAGTTTGTTTGGACGAGACTCAATATGAGAGGAGGAAGTTTGTTTGGACGAGACTCAATATGAGAGGAGGAAGTTTGTTTGGACGAGACTCAATATGAGAGGAGGAAGTTTGTTTGCACCCGGCTCAATATTAGAGGAGGAAGTTTGTTTGGACCCAGCATAAGGTGAGCACAGGAAGCCAGATTTTTTCTCAACCCTTCCCAGTTGCTCAGCTTGGGACCAGCATGCAGAATTTGATAACAAATGTGCAAAGCCAACTTAGTAGACACATACCAGGGTCAATTTAAACAGGAATCAATTCAGCTACCAGTATGTCTTTGGAGTGTAGAAAACTGGAGTACCCATATGGTCACAGGGAGAACATGCAAATTCCATGCAGATAAGGTTGGATATTTTTTGGCTTGCTCCCCTGACTTTTATTGTTGTTGTGTCTAGACCTCTTAGCAGTGGTGTGCCGCTTCCGTTTCCATTTATGTTCGAATACAATAGTCAGCAAGAGAGATTCCTCCATTTATGCTGTTCAGCATGGATGGCGGAATCCATTGATTTCTCCCATTTAGCCACTCGGGAAATGTGTATGGCTAGCCTTACACTAGTGTTATTAAAAAATACATTTACAAACTGTTACATATTGTTTTTTTTTTTTTTTTTTTTCCGATTTTTTTGCTCTTGTTTATCAGTGCATGTTATGCAGATATCTCTTTTAATTATACAATACTGTATTAAATCAATGAAAAGCCGAATCTGATATCTATGGGCAATAGGAACACATACACTGGCCATACACTAGTAGAATTTTGTTTGCAATTTTTAGTTTTTAGAATGCTTGTTTGATTTATTAATGGTTAGTGGAGTCCAATCAAAGTTTGTTTTTGATCACAATGACTAGACAATTTGAAGAAGGATGGAAATTTTTTCTTGGCGGAACAAATTTCTAACAATGTATGTGGTTATCTTTCGGGAAAATATATTCATTTCAAAAACGAATGTTAAAGGCAAACAAATTGTTGAAGTAGGTCATCAAAGGTGTCAAGAATTTTTGTACAATCTACTAGCCAGTTTTATGATTAATATTGGGTTTTACCCACATGGAAGGAAAATATGTTTTAAAAATATTCTTCCCAAATATATTGACATATATATATATACTGTATGTTGAAATGCATTATTATTACAAAATATATGAAAAATATTTTTAAAAATACATTTTCAAATATACTGTATGTCCTTAACCACTTGCCGTCCACCTGCTGTTTATAAATGGCAGGGCGGTGGCACTCCAGGTGCGGGTTGCCGTTCATAAACGGCACCAACCATTTCTAGCTGTGTGCGGTCCCTGGGAGCGAGCAGCACCGCGATCCGGTGCCTGCTGTGTCCTCCAGACACAGTGGAACACCGATCATTGGACGGGACCTCTGTACGAGGTCCCGATCGTATGGTCGCTGATTGGCCAATCAGTGATCACATGCAAAGTAGTAAGCAAGATGTCACTTGTGACATCATTGCTTACTACGTGTGAAATCTGTGAATGATCACAGAGGTCACATGGTACAAGGCTATTCACAACAGCCTTGTACCATGTGACAAGCTGTGACCAATCACAGCTCACTCAGTAGTTATCAATGGTTGCAAGAATGCAGACAGAGAGAAAGAGAAATGATTGCTTTTACATCCTATATGGGTGTAAAAGCAATCAGTGTAAAAAAAAAAAATCTTCATCACCCCCCCACAAGTAGTACAGTGTCACCATGGTGACACTGTACTGCTAGGGTGACAGTATGTAAAAAAAAAAAAAAAAAACATAAATAATAATATAAAAAAAAAATAAAAATGTAAAACAAATGTTTAAAAATTATAATTTTTGGTTATAAACTAATTTGGCTTATTTTTGTTTTTACTAAAAATATAACGGAATACATTTCGGCCAAGATTTATGATGAAAGATTATTTATTTGCAAAATTTTATAAGAAAAACACTTTTTTTCAACATTTGTGGACGTTTTCATTTACATAGCAAAAAAAAATAAAAATCCCAGCGGTGAATAAATACCACCAAAATAAAGCTTTATCTGTCTCAAAAAAATGGTAAAAGATTCATATGGGTACAGTGTTGCATGACCGCGCAATTGTCATTCAAAGTGTGATAGCGCTGAAAGCTGAAAATTGCCCTGGACAGGAAGGGGGTGAAAGTGTCTGGGCAGGAAATGGTTAAAAATACATTCAATCTACATTTTTGGAATGCATTTACAAATATATGTAAAAATATATCTTAAAATGACTTTTTATATATCAAAAAAAATCAGAAAAATATATTTAAAAAAAAAATATTTTGCATATATTTTGTAATACATAAAAATGCATTTCAACATGCAGTATATATATATATATATATATATATATATATATATGTGTGTGTGTGTATATATATATATATATATATATATATAATGAAGTATATTTGAATACTGCCAAAATTGTAGTATTTCAAATATATGTCAATATATTTTGGAAGGATATTTTTAAAATATATTTCAAATATATTTTTCTTCCATTTGTGTAAAATTGTAGTTATCCCAATGTAATCTAATTGGAATATTTCTCTGTGATGATCTATAGGGTTCATGTGGGTCATGCTGGGCTTTTAGCTCAGTAGGGGCTCTGGAAGGCCAGCTAAAGAAGACAACGGGAAAATTGGTGGTTCTCAGTCCTCAGAACCTGGTTGACTGTGTAAAGAAGAATGATGGATGTGGAGGAGGTTACATGACCAATGCATTTGAGTACGTGAGGGACAATAAAGGCATTGACTCAGAAACAGCCTATCCATATGTTGGAGAGGTAAGAACTCTAAACCCATTAGTAAAATTTTCATATAAGCTTTACCATGTATGTGATACCTTCAAAAGTTGTTTTTATTATTTTTAAATCTGCAGCTTTAATTCAAATAGTTGGTGTTTCTACCATAAAAGTCCTTCTTCAGGTGCTTCCTGCTATAGGGTGACACCTGTTTCCTTGTGTCTCCCAACTGTGCTCCCGTTTTGTCACCCTATCACAGGAGCCTTGCAAGTAGGCAGGCCAACTAACCTTACACAAGGCATGGTCCACCATCAGTAGTCAGTAATCTGGTGTAGACCAGTCATGTGCAGCCCATCCTGGAGTAAATGCATCTTGTTGGGAAGTGGCTGAAAGAGGCTGGAGATGACCTGAAAATAGGTAAAAACAGTGTTTTATGAAAAAAAACAGCAAAAGTAGTAGTTTTTGATATGCAGTGATTTAGTAAACTAAATATTACCCCACGATGGTTTAAATCTACTTTAGAAAAGTATTTGTGAATTCAGAGTAGACCCCCATGCTTCCTCTGAAAAGTGGGCTTTTAATAAATGCATGGCATAAGAGGCTGAGCTTGCACAAAGGATCATTGTTAGATCATTGCTGGTCCAGCCAAGGTTTCTTTTTGATGGACTACAGAACACCTCCCTCTTTACACATCTCTATATCATAATGGGAAGGGTCCTGTAGTCCAGTTGAGAACTCAGATGGGGCCTACAATACTGCTTGGGATTTCAGTACACCAGAGGTAGAGTTGTCTAGGACTAGGTGATCACTACATTTCTGTACTTGTAGCATTTTAAGGAGACAAGACTGAGTACAATGTACAGGTATTGCAGGTATGTACTGAGGAGGTAAAACAACATGGGATTGCTTATGTATTATGTATGTGTATGTTTTCTCAGATGCTTTGTTACACTTAATCCTGCCATTCTCAATCAGGTTTCATGGAACTCTAGGATTCCTCCAGAGGATGTTAGGAGTTCGTTATGAGCAGTTTCCACCTCCCAGATAAATTACCACTGATGCCATTTTAGCAATCTGTGAGGGGATATTTTTCCACTGATCATCAATTTAAGGCGCATTCTCTCCACTAACCACCAATGTAAGGAGTAAACATTCTTCCCACTGACCACCAATCTAAGGGGCATTCTTCCCACTGACCACCAATGTATGGAGCATTCTTCCCACTGACCACCATTGTAAGGGCCATTCTTCCCACTGACCACCAATGTACGGAGAATTCTTCCCACTGACCACCAATGTAAGGGACATTCTTCCAGCTGACCATCAATGTAAAGGACATTCTTCTCATTGACCACCAATATAAAGAGCATTATTCCCAATGAGTACCAATGTAAGGGTCATTCTTCCCAGTGACCACCATTGTAAGAGGCATTCTTCCCACTGATCACCAATGTAAGGGAAATTCTTCCCATTGACCACCAATGTAAGGAGCATTCTTCCCATTGACCCCCAATGTAAAAGGTATTCTTCCCAATGCCACCAATGTAAGGGGCAGTCTTTTTACTGACCACCAATGTAAGTGGCATTCTTCCAACTGACCACCAATGTACGGAGCATTCTTTCCACTGACCACCAATGTAAGAGACATTCTTCCAACTGTCCATCAATATAAAGAGCATTCTTCCCAATGAGTACCAATGTAAGGAGCATTCTTCCCACTGACCACCAATGTAAGCATTCTTCCCACTGACCACCAATGTAAGGGACATTCTTCCCTCTGACCCCCAATGTAAGGGGCATTCTTCCCACTGATCACCAATGTAAGGAGCATTCTTCCCACTGATCACCAATGTAAGGAGCATTCTTCCCACTGATCACCAATGTAAGGAGCATTCTTCCCACTGATCACCAATGTAAGGGACATTCTTCCCTCTGACCCCCAATGTAAGGGGCATTCTTCCCACTGATCACCAATGTAAGGAGCATTCTTCCCACTGACCACCAATGTAAGGAGTATTCTTCTCACTAACCATCATGCCAACCATGCTCCCCATGTTAAATAGGTTAAGATCAGTTTAGACCCAATAACTCACATGTAACATTTGTTCTTCCCAGGACCAGACCTGTAACTACACCACAGCAGGCAAAGCTGCTAAATGTAAATCCTACAAAGAAGTCCTGGAGGGCAGTGAGAAGGCGCTGAAGAAGGCAGTAGGCACGGTTGGGCCTATCTCAGTGGGCATAGATGCCAGTTTGTCCACCTTTCAGTTTTACAATAAAGGTGAGTTTGTTTTACTAATAATAAAAAAAAAAACGGGAGCAGTAGCAGCCAATCAGAATTTAGCTTTTATTCTCAAACCATGTGGGTTATAACTGCTATTTAAAAATTGTCCCCATTATGTATTAGGATTTATGCCGTGCTGTCCATGCTGTCCATAGAACCGCTCTAACCTGGCCCGGACTGACAAACTGGCATTTCTGGCATTTCCTAATGGGTGTGGCTACACAGGTCTATGGTTAATGTGGAAATATTATAGAGAATAATCTGATGTGGGCCTCTCACAACTCCTGTAGTACTGGTCCAAAAAATAAAAAATAACCCCCCCGCGGGCAATTGGTGCCTTCCTAAGTGCTAACAGCACACTGTGATTCGCTGATGTGTTTTGTAATGCTTCTTTGTGCATTGCAAATAAATACAGGCAAGCTGCACCAACGCACTTGTATGGTGTGATCAGGGCACATAGAGAACAATGGTTTTCTTGGTTTCAGCCTACATGGATCAGCTCCTGGGATGTCCATGTCACACATCCCAGGAGGCGGCAGCAGTCTCTACATCACAGGAGTCAAACACAAAGCCCGCAGGCTGAATCCGGCCATCCAGGCCATTACATGTAGTCCTTGCACCTCTCCTGCAGGTACCACCTTGTCTCTACCCCCACCCCGTCTCAGCAGTCGGCAGCAGAGAGGTGAATAGAACTCCTCTGCCAAATCCTGCACTTCTCAGTGCAGCTGCAGCACCCCCCCATCTCTGCCTCCCCTGGTCTCGGCATTCAGCAGACTCTGGTAACTGACTCCACTCCTCCTCTGGTCCTCCTCCAGACCCTGCACTTTCTGCTTTCCAGCTCTGCTCCCAAAGGTGGTGTACGGTGATGTTAGGGAGTGTGGGGGATTCTTGACATCTGATGCAATAGGTGGTGGGGTGCTCCGGACATCTAGTCTTACAGATACAACCAGCCCCTTTGAGGGCAACCATAATGCTAATACGGCCCACGATAAAATGGAGTTTGACACCCCTGGTCTACATCATTCTCACCTAGCCCAGAAAGCAGGAAGTACTTGGCATCTAATCTAATAAATATTACAGAAATTGGTGAACTGTTCTGCCACTGTATAAGAGGGAGGGGGAGGAAACATCAGAGATAACGTTCTTTTAATGAGTGGCGGTCCACTTTAAGGACAAAGCATGTGACATTTATTTATTTATTTTTGTCTGCAGATTGAAGTAAACAGGCAATATTTCATAACATTAATACAAAATATTTTGAGTAGTTATACTATTTATAGATCCCTTTTATGTATGACAGGGGTGTCCATCTCCATTTCATCGCGGGCCGTATCAGCATTACGGTTGTCCTCAAAGGGCTGGTTGTATCTGGTGGCACCCCCCCATTACATCAGATGTCAAGAATCCCACACCCTCCCTAACATCGCCATGCACACCCTTTGGGGGCAGAGCTGGAAAGCAGAACATGCAGGGTCTGGAGGAGGACCAGAGGAGGAGTGGAGTCAGTTACCAGAGTCTGCAGAATGCTGAGACCAGGGGAGGCAGAGATGAGGGGGTGCTGCAGCTGCACTGAGAGGTGAAGGATTTCTCCTCTCTGCTGCTGAGTGCTGAGACAAGGTGGGGGCGGAGAAAATGGCCAAGGTGCAAGGGCCACATGAAATGGCCTGGAGGGCTGGATTCGGCCTGCTGGCCTTGTGTTTGACACCTGATGGGCTGCCATCTAGTGATGATTTCAGAGTATACAGGCCAGGGGCGGACTGACTATTTGGAAACTCGGGCAATGCCCAAGGGCCTGGGGTCAGTAGGGGGCCCCATGAGATGCCCCATGGTACCTTTTTAATAGAGTTTTTGGAGTTTGGGCAAGGACACAGGGGCCCCATGATCCCCTATTGCCCGGGGGCCCCATGATTTGTCAGTCCACCCCTGATACAGGCTATATATTTATATAGCCCTTTTATAAGTGATGCTGGGCTGCCATCTAGTGGTTGTTTTAGAGTAAGCACTCAACAATGGGATTTATTGCTGGTTAATATTTATCTTCCAATTATTATGATCCAAGTGATCCCTAGATTTCCTTGAAATCCTCTGATCCAGGTGTAATTGCTAAGACCTCTTGAATTTCTGTAGACCTGTTTATGGACAGCACAGCTTTCTCTATTAAATAATGCCTGTGGGTGCCAAAAAAAAACCTTCCATTGAACATGAAAAGAGCTTGGTCTACTGAACACTGTGTCTTTGGTTGTTGAAAGTCTTTGTAAACTTAATCCCATGGGGCCCCCTACTGACCCCGGGCCCTCGGGCAGTGCCCGAGTTTCCAAATGGTCAGTCTGCCCCTGCTACTGGCACATGTATATAGGGCATATTTCCCCAGACATGCCATTTTCACGTTTGGGAAGGTAATGTACAGCACAGCTCAGACTGGGAGAGGTTAGTGTAGGAGGGGATTCTGGAAAATAATGATGTCTTCTTCTGAATTATTACATGCGTTTTCTTTTGTACTCCCAAACCAGGCATATATTATGACCCAGAATGTAATGCGGAAGCTATTAACCATGCTGTGCTTGCTGTCGGCTATGGAGTCCAGAAGAAATCCAAGTACTGGATTGTCAAGAACAGGTACTATACCTAGTGCAAGCCAGCCATGCTGAATATTTGTAATCAGTGTGATTTTATTAATGTCTTTTTATTGACATGAACCTCGCATGCATTTTTGGCGTCTTAAAGATGAATTTCAGGCATTGGTATATTTTTATACAGTCACATTGGACCAACGTATATATGAATATACCACGCCTGACTGATGCCCTTGGAAGCTGAAATGACGTAACCAGGGGCGGACTGACCATTTAGAAACTAGGGCACTGCCTCAGGGCCCAGGGTCAGTAGGGGGCCCCATGAGATAGCCCTGGTACCTTTTTCATAGGCTTTTTTGAGTTTGGGCAAGGACACATGGGCCCCATGATCCCCTATTGCCCGGGGGCCCCATGAGTTGTCAGTTCGCCCCTGGACATAACCCATTACCATCCAGAGGATTCCCCCCCCCCCCTTCCTGACGAGGCCATTTTTTGCGATACGGCACTGTGTTACTTTAACTGACAATTGCGCGGTCATGCAATGCTGCACCCAAATGAAATTTACGTCCTTTTTTTCCCACAAATATAACTTTCTTTCAGTGGTATTTGATTGCCTTTGCTTTTTTTATTTTTTTTTGCGCTATAAAACGAAAAAAGACCGACAATTTTGAAAAAAAAAAACAATATTTTTTGCTATAAATCATATCCAATAAAAAAAGTAAAAAAAAACACATTTTGTCATACGTTTAGGCCAAAATGTATTCTGCTCCGTGTCTTTGCTAAAACAAAAACCCCAATACGTGTAAATGAATTGGTTTACATGAAAGTTCTAGTGTTTACAAATGGCGGAATAGATACTGGAATCTTTTTAAATTTTTACTAGTAATGGCGGCGATCAGAGACTTATAGCGAGACTGCGGCGGGCATTCTGACAACGCTGCACCCAAATGAAATTTACGTCCTTTTTTTCCCCCACATATTGTATATGTATACATATATCTCAAACTGTATATCCCCGAGTGGAAAATATATATATGCGATGCAAATACCATGTATGTATAATCAACTCTTTGAATATAAACCGCACTCTCAATGGTGTATAGTAAATATAAATACAAGTAAATAAATAGGTATGTGAACAAATAAACCATATAAAGCTGCTACTTTCTTCTATAAATAAAAAATGTGACAAAAATAATATTTAGAAAATCCCAAAATATATGCAGTGCTCGTATATTTTGGGATTTTCAAAATATTATTTTGGTCACATATATATATATATATGTATACAGTATACAGATATACAGTGGGGCAAAAAAGTATTTAGTCAGCCACCAATTGTACAAGTTCTCCCACTTAAAAAGATGAGAGAGGCCTGTAATTGGCATCATAGGTAGACCTCAACTATGAGAGACAAAATGAGAAAACAAATCCAGACAATCACTTTGGCTGATTTGGAAAGAATTTATTTGCAAATTATGGTGGAAAATAAGTATTTGGTCAATATCAAAAGTTCATCTCAATACTTTGTTATATATCCTTTGTTGGCAATGACAGAGGTCAGACGTTTCCTGTAAGTCTTCACAAGGTTGGCACACACTGTTGCTGGTATGTTGGCCCATCCTCCATGCAGATCTCCTCTAGAGCAGTGATTTTTTGGGGCTGTCACTGGGCAACACGGACTTTCAACTTCCTCCAAAGGTTTTCTATGGGGTTGAGATCTGGAGACTGGCTGGGCCACTCCAGGACCTTGAAATGCTTCTTACGAAGCCACTCCTTCATTGCCCGGGTGGTATGTTTGGGATCATTGTCATGTTGGAAGACTCAGCCACGTTTCATCTTCAATGCCCTTGCTGATGGAAGGAGGTTTGCACTCAAAATCTCACGATACATGGCCCCATTCATTCTGTCCTGTACATGGATCAGTCATCCTGGTCCCTTTGCGGAGAAACCGCCCCAAAGCATGATGTTGCCACCCCCATGCTTCACAGTAGGTATGGTGTTCTTTGGATGCAACTCCGCATTTTCTCTCCTCCAAACACGACGAGTTGTGTTTCTACCAAACTGTTCTATTTTGGTTTCATCTGACCATATGACATTCTCCCAATCCTCTTCTGGATCATCCAAATGCTCTCTAGCAAACCTCAGATGGGCCCGGACATGTACTGGCTTAAGCAGGGGGACACATCTGATCTGGCACTGCAGGATCTGAGTCCCTGGCGGCGTAGTGTGTTACTGATGGTAGCCTTTGTTACGTTGGTCCCAGCTCTCTGCAGGTCATTCACTAGGTCCCCCCGTGTGGTCCTGGGATTTTTGCTCACCGTTCTTGTGATCATTTTGACCCCACGGGGTGGGATCTTGCGTGGAGCCCCAGATCGAGGGAGATTATCAGTGGTCTTGTATGTCTTCCATTTTCTAATTATTGCTCCCACAGTTGAGTTGTTCACACCAAGCTGCTTGCCTATTGCAGATTCAATCTTCCCAGCCTGGTGCAGGTCTACAATTTTGTTTCAGGTGTCCTTCGATAGCTCTTTGGTCTTCACCATAGTGGAGTTTGGAGTGTGACTGTTTGAGGTTGTGGACAGGTGTCTTTTATACTGATAACAAGTTCAAACAGGTGCCATTGATACAGGTAATGAGTGCAGGACAGAGGAGCCTCTTAAAGAAGAAGGTACAGGTCTGTGAGATCAGAAATCTTGCTTGTTTGTAGGTGACCAAATACTTATTTTCCACCATAATTTGCAAATAAATTCTTTCCAAATCAGCCAATGTGATTGTCTGGATTTTGTTTCTCATTTTGTCTCTCATAGTTGAGGTCTACCTATGATGCCAATTACAGGCCACTGTCATCTTTTTAAGTGGGAGAACTTGCACAATTGGTGGCTGACTCAATACTTTTTTGGCCCACTGTATATATATATGTGTGTGTGTATAATGTTTCTGTTAGTAATGCTGGTCCTGTACTGTATAGACATGTCATCCAATTCTTTTCTCCCCACAGCTGGGGCGAGGATTGGGGTGATAAAGGCTACATCCTAATGGCCAAAGACAAGAAGAATGCTTGTGGCATCGCCAACCTCGCCAGCTACCCCCTGATGTGACACCACACAGACCGGTCATCTTCTCTACCCACCCAATGTCCTTTTTAGCCTTTTTTTCTTTTGAATGAGCACTCAGCCCGGGTTCACATATGTGCGGTGCGGTATATCGCATGTGATTCGCACAGGAACCACACCGCATTCCTGTACATATCACATGCGATTTGTGTGCGGTGCGATCGGAGTTATACATCTTGTCTGGCTCTATTCGCACCGCACCAAAAACACGCAGGACCCTTTTTGGGTCCGCACTAGAATCTGATCGCATGGGTATTCACACCTATGCGATCCAATTCTGCACATCGCACCGCGTTTTGCGGACTGCTTTTGGGGTGTTGTTAACTTAACATACGCACCCACAGCGGTTCGCATGAATGGGGTGCGATTCTGATGCGATTTTGGAATTCGCACTGAAAACGCTGCAAATTCCGCAGCGCATCAGTGTGAACCCGGGCTCGGTGTCACTGAGTAGTCACACAGATATCAATGTTTACACACCTTTGCCTTTATGTAATTCCAATCACTAAAATCTCCTATAGGGCTCTTCCATTTACGGCTGAATAGAGTCAAATCCTCCTGTTGTCGTGCCATATCGCGCAATTTAACCCACTGACAGGCATTGCAGAATGCGCTGTGCCTGGCTATACACGGATAACCACGAGCACTCCAGTTTTCATGGTGTAGATGTATTTTTCAAAGCGTAAAATGTAACATTTTCAAAAATACGCCGTGTGTGTAAACACCATTGCCTGGGGTTATGCGCCTATAGCCGAACACAGCATATCCAGCAATGCATGTCATTGGGCTTAATTATGCCACCGCGATGGCTCCCAGTGACCGTGACAACGGGCGGAGTTTACACGGTATGGCCGTACACAAGAGCCCATAAACTGTTAATGTCATTACAAGTATTTTTTAATAAATTAACTCAATTGCTCTCATTCAAAATAATACCCGTTGATCCTGCCATGAAAGTCCTTGTTCAGATGCTTCCTGTTATTGCTCTGTTTTCCAATTGTGCTTCTGTGTTGTCTCCCTCTCACATGGGCTTCTTATCAGGGCCGGATCTAGGGGGGTCCTGGGGTGGCCTGTGCCCCCCCCCCCATATTTTACTTGTGCCCCCCCTAGATCTCTGAGAGTGCATCCACTGATCCATGAGCTAATCTGATGCAGAGAGTTGATGTAAGGGGGAACTCTTATGGGGGCAATCCATGTAAGGGGGAACTCTGATGGGGACACCAGATGTAAGGGGGCACTCTGATAGGGATCCTAATGTAAGGGAGCACTCTGATAGGGACATCTAATGCAAGGGGGCACTCTGATGGGGACACCTGATGTAAGGGAGCACTCTGATGGGGACACCAGATGTAAGGGGGCACTCTGATAGGGATCCTGATGTAAGGGGGCACTCTGATAGGGACATCTAATGTAAGGGGGCATTCTGATGGGGACGCCTGATGTAAGGGGTCACTGTGATGGGGATCCTGATGTAAGGGGGCACTGTGATAGGGACATCTAATGTAAGTGGACACTCTGATGCGAATCTCGATGTAAGGGAGCACTCTGATGGGAACCTGATGTAAGGAGCCCTCTTATGGGGGCAATCCATGTAAGGGGCACTCTGATGGGGACACCTGATGTAAGGGGGCACTTTGATAGGGACATCTGATGTAAGGTGGCACTCTGATAGGGACATCTGATGTAAGTAAACACTCTGATGGGAAGCTAATGTAAGGGGGCACTCTGATGGGGACACCTGATGTAAGGGGGCACACTGATGGGGACACCTGATGTATGGGGGCACACTGATGGGGATCCTAATGTAAGGGGGCACTCTGATGGGGATCCTGATGCAAGGGGACACTCTGATGGGGATCCTGATGTATGGGGGCACTCTGAAGGGGATCCTGATGTATGGGGGCACTCTGATGGGAATCCTGATGTAAGAAGGCACTCTAATGGGAACCTGATGTAGAGGGGGACTCTGATGAGTAGTCATAATGTAAAGAGAAACCAGATGAGTAGTCATAATGTAACCAGAAGACAAAATAGCCTAAAACATTCACCCAGAAGACAAAATAGCCTAAAACATTCAACCAGAAGACAAAATAGCCTAAAACATTCAACCAGAAGAGAAAATAGCCTAAAACATTCAACCAGAAGAGAAAATAGCCTAAAACATTCAATCAGAAGAGAAAATAACTTAACACCCTAGTCTAACAACATCTGACCAAAAAAGCCTAAAACAGTCACAAAATAACTTTTTGGCTGTAAGACAAAATAGCCTACAGTAATAGCCCACCAACATTCGATCAGAAGACAGACCAGCCCGAGAACATTCGACCAGAAGAGAAAATTACTTAAAGCCCTAGTCTAACAACATCTGACCAAATATAGCCTAAAACAGTTAAAAAATAAGTTTTTGACAAGAAGACAAAATAACCTACAGTAATAGCCTACCAGCATTCGATCAGAAGATAGACTAGCCTGAGAACATTCGACCAGAAGAGAAAATAGCCCAAAACAGAAGCTTTCACCAAAATAGGTCTAAAACAATAGCAGAAGAACTTTTGACTAGAAGATAAAATATCCTAAAGCCCAACAACATTCAGAAGGCATAACAGCCTAAAGCAATAACCTAACAACTGTTGACCTGAAGAGAAAATACCTTAATAAGCTGCTATACATATTGCATTTACTGCCAAACTTTTCAAATATTTCCTAGTTGGCATGGGTGATCGATCTATCTGTACTGGACAAGTGATCACTGAAATCAGCCTAACCTCACTGCCACAGTCATACCCAGTGCAGGACACAGGAGCTTCAGGAGAGAAGCAGAACATGCCCCTCCCCCATGGCGGTGTCACAGAAAATCGTATATATGGGAATCATTTAAAGGTCACATTCAGTTTAAAATATAGGATATGTATGAATGGACGAGGAAGTATTTTTTTTTTAGAATTTTTCAGAATTATTTCTGCTTTGTAAAATCCAAGTATCCCTTTCACACCTAAGCGTTTTCCGCAGCATTTTGCAGAAACGCAGTACGGTCCATTTAACATGATTTTCTATGGGACGTGTTCACATCTATGCGTTTTCACCCCGGTGCATTTTTTGAAAAGGGTCAGGAACGTTTTTGAACGCAAAAAAAGTTGTTTTTTTGGTTTAATAGACTTCAATGGAAGCGCTGCAGAAAAGCTTGTATTGCGTTTTTACCGTGTTTTTGATGTGTTTTGCATTTTAAGTCTTCCTAGCAACAAGAAAAAAAAAAAATGCAGCAAAACGCAATGCAGAAACGGCTCAAACGCAACCTGCATAGGTGTGACTTTGCACCAAAATCGCATGTGATTTGCACAGGAATGCGGTGCAGTTCCTGTGCGAATCACATGCGATTTATTGCACCGCATGTATGTGTACCCAGTCTCAATGCAAGGCACTGTTTACCTTGTTTTCCAATTTTTTTTTTAAACTGTATTGAAATGTCAGATTGGGGCTGTGCCAAAACCACCGTGTAATGCACTGGGCTGATATATCACCTCCTATCCACCTGTCAAATGCCTTTTAAAAGTGATCAGCTAGGGATCACTCTTCAGAGGGACTGACAGCCACAAGTGTAAATGAGCCATAAGAGTCGGGCACTCTTGGATTTCAAACTTTTATGTCATTTTTGGATATTGATGATGCTGACTTTTATTTTATGTAATAGGATTTTTTGCAATGTGATCAATAAATGTTTAATAGGAAAAATAAAACGATAAATGTCTCTGGTTTCTTTTTCTTTAACCGCTTTATCACCGCCCTATAGCAGATATACTGCTACAGGGCGGCACCTGTGCGCAAAATCACGTATATATATATATGTGATTTTGCATTTCTGGGTAGGGGGCGCGCACGAGCCGCACGCTATTCACGGCCCCTGTTGTCAATCACCGGGTCCCGGCTGGTGATTAATTGCCGGAACCCCGTGATCACCGAGCATTACCAACGGGGGAGAGAACCGCATGTAAACAATACAGTTCTCTCCCCTGTCAGCTCCTGCACACTGCTTTGTACGGCTCTGCATAGCAGAGCCGTACAAAGCAGTGTGCCTACAGTGTAAAGCACACACACAGCCCACAGAAAAACACACACACAGCACACAGTGGACCCTTTGATCCCCCCACATGTTAACCCCTTCCTGCCCAGTGCCATTAGTACAGTGTCAGTGCTTTTTGTTAGCACTGATCACTGTATTGGTGTCACTGGGGATGTCAGTGACACCAAGTCAGGTCCCCCTAGTGTCAGAATGACCACCGCAGTATAAGTCGCTGATCGCCACCATTACTAGTAAAAAAAAATCCCAGTATATATACACATATGTAAACACTATAACTTTCACGTAAACCAATTAATTTACACGTATTGGGATTTTTTTTTTTTTAGCAAAGACATGGAGCAGAATACATTTTGGCCCGAATTTATGATGAAATTTGATTTTTTAAATTCCCCTAAAATTACTTGCTTCTATGGCATGCTGGGTTCAATACTTTCTGAGACTTTGACCCAGAAGAAGCATGCAGATCAGTAACATCAGAGCAAAGTCAGAACTTCAGCCCTGGTTCACACTGATGCGGTGCGGAATTCGCGTTTTCTGTGTGAATTCCGCACCGGATCACAATCGCACCCCGTTCATGCGAACCGCTGCAGGTGTGTATGTTAACAACACCCCGAAATCAGTCCTCAAAACGCGGTGCGATCACATAGGTGTGAATACCCATGCGATCCGATTCTAGTGTGGACCAAAAAAAGAGTCCTGCACCGTTTTGGTGCAGATGCGGTGCGATTTGAGCCATACAAAATCCAATCACACCGCACACAATTCCTGTGCGAATCACATGAGATGTGCAGCACCACACAAGTGTGAACCCAGCCTCAAATCTGCATACTTGTTGTCAGGAGCAGACTGACAACTCATGGGGCCCCCGGGCAATAGGGAATCATGGGGCCCCGTGTCCTTGCCCACACTCAAAAAAGCCTATAAAAAAGGCACCAGGGGCATCTCATGGGGCCCCCTACTGACCCGAGGCCCTCGGGCAGTGCCCGAGTGCTCGAATGGTCAGTCTGCCCCTGCTTGTTATGGGTAAAAGACTCAAAGTATTGACTTTATGGAGAATAAAAGCAAATAAATAAATAAAACAGCAATAATAAGAAAAGAAAACAATGATCATTATTAGTATATAAATATCAAACTTTATAAGCAATTTATACAAATTATAAAGAATGACTCAAAGCCATTTGTTCAGCATGACAGCCAAAGAGTTGGATTGTTCAGAATTAACTTTTTCACCACTAGAGGTCACCTTCAGACTAGTTTCACAGTTACATAGTTAGTCTGGCTGAAAAACAAGACAAAAGTGCATCCAGTTCAACCATAAAAAAAAAAAATTATAATCCTATACCCACAGTTGATCCAGAGGAAGGCAAAAAAACCCAGCAAAGCATGATCCAATTTACTCCTGCTGGGAAAAAATTCCTTCCTGATCCCCCGAGAGGCAATCAGATATTCCCTGGATCAACTTTACCTATAAATGTTATATCCAGTTATATTCTGTGTATCCAAGAAAGAATCCAGGACTTTTTTGAAGCAATCCACTGGCCAGAACCAACTCTTGAGGGAGTCTATTCCACATTTTCACAGCTCTTAACCTTTCCGTGTTTGGAGATTAAATTTCTTTTCCTCCAGACGTAAAGAGTGCCCCCTTGTCCTCCGTGCTGACCTCAGAGTGAATAGCTGTACACCGAGATCACTATATGAACCACTGATGTATTATACATGGAGATCATATCCCCCCTTATGTATTATACATGGAGATCATATCCCCCTTATGTATTATACATGGTGATCATATCCCCCCTTATGTATTATACATGGAGATCATATCCCCCCTTATGTATTATACATGGAGATCATATCCCCCCTTATGTATTATACATGGAGATCATATCCCCTTATGTATTATACATGGAGATCATATCCCCCCTTATGTATTATACATGGAGATCATATCCCCCCTTATGTATTATACATGGAGATCATATCCCCCTTATGTATTATACATGGAGATCATATCCCCCCTTATGTATTATACATGGAGATCATATCCCCCCTTATGTATTATACATGGAGATCATATCCCCCCTTATGTATTATACATGGAGATCATATCCCCCCTTATGTATGTATACATGGAGATCATATCCCCCCTTATGTATTATACATGGAGATCATATCCCCCTTATGTATTATACATGGAGATCATATCCCCCTTTATGTATTATACATGGAGATCATATCCCCCCTTATGTATTATACATGGAGATCATATCCCCCCTTATGTATTATACATGGAGATCATATCCCCCCTTATGTATTATACATGGTGATCATATCCCCCCTTATGTATTATACACGAAGATCATATCCCCCTTATGTATTATACACGGAGATCATATCCCCCTTATGTATTATACATTCAGATCATACCCCCCCTTATGTATTATACATGGAGATCATACCCCCCTTATGTATTATACACGGAGATCATATCCCCCCTTATGTATTATACACGGAGATCATATCCCCCCTTATGTATTATACACGGAGATCATATCCCCCCTTATGTATTATACACGGAGATCATATCCCCCCTTATGTATTATACATGGAGATCATATCCCCCTTATGTATTATACATGGAGATCATATCCCCCCTTATGTATTATACATGGAGATCATATCCCCCCTTATGTATTATACATGGAGATCATATCCCCCCTTATGTATTATACATGGAGATCATATCCCCCCCTTATGTATTATACATGGAGATCATATTCCCTCTTATGTATTATACATGGAGATCATATCCCCCCTTATGTATTATACACGGTGGTCATATCCCCCCTTATGTATTATACATGGTGATCATATCCCCCCTTATGTATTATACATGGTGATCATATCCCCCTTATGTATTATACATGGAGATCATATCCCCCCTTATGTATTATACATGGAGATCATACCCCCCCTTATGTATTATACACGGAGATCATATCCCCCTTATGTATTATACACGGAGATCATATCCCCCTTATGTATTATACATTCAGATCATACCCCCCTTATGTATTATACATGGAGATCATACCCCCTTATGTATTATACATGGTGATCATATCCCCCCTTATGTATTATACATGGAGATCATATCCCCCCTTATGTATTATACATGGTGATCATATCCCCACTTATGTATTATACATGGAGATCATATCCCCCTTATGTATTATACATGGAGATCATATCCCCCCTTATGTATTATACAGGGAGATCATATCCCCCCTTATGTATTATACATGGATATCATATCCCCCCTTATGTATTATACATGGAGATCATATCCCCCCTTATGTATTATACATGGAGATCATATCCCCCCTTATGTATTATACATGGAGATCATATCCCCCCTTATGTATTATACATGGAGATCATATCCCCTCTTATGTATTATACATGGAGATCATATCCCCCCTTATGTATTATACACGGAGATCATATCCCCCCTTATGTATTATACACGGAGATCATATCCCCCCTTATGTATTATACATGGTGATCATATCCGCCCTTATGTATTATACATGGAGATCATATCCCCCTTATGTATTATACACGGAGATCATATCCCCCCTTATGTATTATACATGGTGATCATATCCGCCCTTATGTATTATACATGGAGATCATATCCCCCTTATGTATTATACACGGAGATCATATCCCCCCTTATGTATTATACATGGAGATCATATCCCCCCTTATGTATTATACATGGTGATCATATCCCCCCTTATGTATTATACATGGAGATCATATCCCCCTTATGTATTATACATGGTGATCATATCCCCCCTTATGTATTATACATGGAGATCATATCCCCCCTTATGTATTATACATGGAGATCATATCCCCCCTTATGTATTATACATGGAGATCATATCCCCCCCTTATGTATTATACATGGAGATCATATCCCCCCTTATGTATTATACATGGAGATCATATCCCCCCTTAATCTCCTCTTCTCAAGAGAGAATAAATTCAGTTCCTATAATCTTTCCTCATAGCTGATCTCCTCCATGCCTCTTACCAGTTCGGTTGCCCTTTTCTGTACTTTCTCTGGTTCCCTAATGTTCTTTTGGTGAATTGGTAGCCAAAATTGAATAGTAAACATGCAACATCTGCAATATACACTGCTCAAGAAAATGAAAAGAAGACTTTTTAATCAGAGTCTAGTTAATACTAGACAATGAAACTCCTGGGATATTGATCTGGTCAGGTAAGTAGCAGAGGGGGTTGTTCATCAGTTTCAGGTGCTTTGGTGTTAATTAAATACAGGTGCACTAGATGGGCAACAATGAGATGGCCCCCAAAACAGGAATGGTTTTACAGACGGAGGCCACTGACATTTTTTTCCCTACTTATCTTTTCTGACTGTTTTTCACTAGTTTTGCATTTGGCTAGGGTCGGTGTCATTGCTGGTAGCATGAGGCCATACCTGGACCCTACAGAGGTTGCACAGGCAGTCCAACTCCTCCAGGATGGCACATCAATATGGCCATTGCCAGAAGGTTTGCTGTGTCTTCCAGCACAGTCTCAAGAGCATGGGGGAGATTCCAGGAGACAGGCAGTTACTCTAGGAGTGCTGGACAGGGCCGTAGAAGGTCCTTAACCCATCAGCAGGACCGGTATCTGCTCCTTTGTGCAAGGAGAAACTGGATGAGCCCTGCCAGAGCCCTACAAAATGACCTCCAGCAAGCCACTGGTGTGAATGTCTCTGAGCAAACAATCAGAAACAGACTTCATGAGGGTGGCCTGAGGGCCCGATGTCCTCTAGTGGGCCCTGTGCTCACTGCCCAGCACTGGATTGGCATTTGCCTTTGAACACCAGAATTGGCAGGTCCACCACTGGCGTCCTTTTTTTTCACAGATGAGAGCAGGTTCACCCTGAGCACATGTGACAGACATGAAAGGGTCTAGAGAAGTCGTGGAGAACTTTCTGCTGCCTATAACATGGTTCAGTATGACCGTTTTGGTGGTGGGTCAGTGATGGTCTGGGGAGGCATATCCATGGAGGGACGCACAGACCTCTACAGGCTAGGCAATGGCACCCTAACTGCCATTAGGTATCGGGATGAAATCCCTGGACCAACTGTCAGACCCTACACTGGTGCAGTAGGTTCCTCCTGGTGCACGACAATGCCCGGCCTCATGTACAGGGAGTATGCA